AAAAGAAAGAGGAGCAGCTATGATAGTATAGACGAAAAATAAAAATATACGCAAATTGAATGAAAGAAACTCTGAAAAGAGTGAAGTTGGGCTCGGTGGATTTGCACGTAAACGCGCAAATATAGAAGTGGCAAAAGGAGTAAATAGATAGACAGCATTATTCTCGCGAGGAGAAACGGAAGATAAGAGAGAAGGAGGCAGTAAAAAGAAACTGAGGAAAAATATAAGGATGAGTATGCGCCATCAAATAAATTCTCGACTTTAATGAACGTACGAAAGAGTGCAATTTGAAAATGAGAGTTACCCTCCGGCAGAGCCACTAATTTCTCTCTGTAAGACGTTACTTTTGAAAAAAAATTTTGGAATGTTCTACGTTGACAAACAATCGTGATAATAACTTCGACATGGACACGTAATATTTCAAAAATAGTTAATACAACAAATTAAAGAAATTAACGCACTATTTGAAAGAGGTTCTACTTAAAAATAATTTAATTGTCATTTCAAAATATCACTTCTCTACAATAAACTATTAAAGAGAATACTAATATAAAAAATAACGTATAAGTAAAAAACAATGTTTAAATAATCCATTATCATTTTGAATTTATAAAGTTAAATATAATTTTTGTTTGTGAAATAAATTTATTATCAAGCTACACAATAAAAAATGTAATGAAATATTCTTATTTTTTTAAGTTTTAATTCAATATAATTTTATATCAACTTTTAATTCTTAAAAATGAAAATATCACTATTTATTTCAATATCGATTATCTCCGTTTTTTCTACTTTTTCTTAATTTAGTTTAAAATACATTCATCTTTATATAACTTTTATTCCAAATTCGACATTATCTTAAATGCAAGAATTTATCATTGTCAAGAAAATTTTGAAAAATTGTTGATAAGAAGGTAGAATTTGTATGTGAGGATTATACATGAATAAGCTGTACATTTGAACAAAGTGACAGAAGTAACGATGTGTCACAATATGGTTTTCTTTTGACAGATCTTGCAAATATAATGTACTTCGATCTTAGATTCACAATTATGATGTAGCCACATTTTCTGGAATATATTCTGTAAATAAAACTCTATTTCATTCGCGTTTTTCTCTCTTTTTTTATAGTTTCACGCGGAACTTTCCAATTAATGTCGCGTTTCCGTTTGTAATCGGCAGGGTTTTTTTTATCATTGGCAGTTTTTTGCGATCGTTATTGTGGAGAAAAGATATAAAAAGCTCGCAGCATTGTGCCGATATTATTGCACTGTGAATTAAAATAGTTGTGTTCTATATCGAACGTGATGTCGATAATAAATAAAATGCACGGATTGTATTGTATAAAATTAATGAAAGTTATATATATGTACGATTTAATATTTTTTAAATTACATAATATATTAAATTACAAAACTTTCATTTTTTGTTAGTCTACATTAAATAATAATAAATTTAAACTTTTATTTTATAATTATTAATATATACATATATATATGAACCTCCATCCGTCATTGTATACAATTAAATTATAAAAATATGTATTAATATAATTAAGCACAAAAGCATAAAATAAAAATATATGTATAATATAACTATTTATATTATACGTAAAAATACAAAAAGATGCTTTTATAAAACATTTTTAGTTTAAATAAATAATGTGTATTAAAACATTTTAACGTGCAGAGATAATACAGTCATAATATATTTTTGCATTGAAATATCTCATATTTTCTGTAAGGTAAAATTGCTGCATTATGAAAGAAAGCGCTTTGCTTTCACAGCTGATGAGCTTGGAATTTGGAATTTTTGATCCTCAAATTTGATCAACAGATTCATATGCATATAATAAGAACTAATGTCAGAGAAAATTATTTATTTTTTTTTCGTTTATTTAGAAATATTCTATATTGAAGATAAATTTTATTAATATGAATTAGTGAAATAAAGATTTTATTCTCATTTAATTTATTTTAATATCCCTAAAAATAGAATTAAGAAAAATAAAATTAATTAGGTGGGCGTTATTCGGCTCAGGAATCTTACATCATAAGTAGTACAATTAGTTATTTTAGTACATTAATTGTAAGTTTCGAAACTTCGTATCGATCTTAAGATCTTATCGATAAGAGGATTACTTAAGAGTTGAAGACACACAGAAGCATTGAAGGTACAAACCTTCGATAATCCTATGTCCTTTTACGAAGGTAATTCTATGTGTTAGTCCCAGTAAAATTTCGCCCCGCAGTTTCCCAAAAGTTTCGTCTCCATCAAAAGTTGTATCGCTATCTCTCTACGGGGCCGTTTGATTTTGTCGAAAGTTACGCTTCGAATAACGAACTGAATAGTTCTTCTTCAAGAACTTATGTTAGCGTGGAAAATGGAAAGCACTCGCACAAGTTTCACGACATATATGACTGCTATGGACCTTCTATCAAATTGAAACGGTTTGCGAGCGTAAAATAGTATAGAGCCTCACAACTCCGATTAACTTAATCGACCGATTGTTAGATTGGAACTAACCAATCGCATTTGCTGTTCAGCAGAATTGACCAATCATAGTTGACACTTAGGCCCAGTTCCACAACTCACGGGAGATTCAACTTATTCATTGTCTTTTTCCAATTCTAGAATTGGAAAGAGATGAGAAACAAGTTGAACCTCTGTTAAAAGTTAACGTGAACTGGATCTTAATCGACTGATCAGGTTAATTGGAGTTACCGGCTCATAGAGAATCATATATATTTTTATCGTTAAGGAAATGCTGGATCGATGGCCGAATTTAATTGATGTTGATAAAACCGATTCCTAATTCCAAAGAAAATATTATATACAATTCTTGCTTTGCTATATTCTATGTATCACATGAATGCAATTGAAGTTTTTTGTACATTCAGATCGTACTTTTCCATTTACTTTTTTTATAAGCTTCAAAATCATAATTTAAAGATCTGATCATCATTGCATTTCCAGAAAGCACAAAGTCGTTTAAAAGATGACTAAAAGATGACTAAAACTTGATTGCACCAACTTTAATTTTTTACTTTAATTTTAAGCGAGGCTTAAAAAAAACTCTCTGTCTTTCTATCAGCTTCAAAAAAAGAGATTTGTAAACTTCGCCAAATAACGTTGGTGCAATCGGACCTAAATTAATATAAAGATATCTTATTGTTAGTAAAAGAATGTAGTCAACGAAAAGATTAAAACGCGGCGATGCACGTCGCATTGCTTAATTCCTATAACAAGAGTTACGCAAATCCGCCAAATTGCCAAACAAGCGCAAGTTTCAAATATTCCGTATTTGACACAATTCATCAACGTAGTTGACATACCTTCATCAATATTTTAATTGCTTCGTCAACGTCATCCTGAACTTTATTCAAGTAATAGCACGATTTTTATTTCACAGCGATATCATTAGCACTTGTGTCATGACATGTGTCATGTATGTCAGTCTTAGCCAACTTACTGACAAAATCAGTGTTACCAACGTTAATTTGGCTGTACATGGTGGCGGTTACTCTTATTTTATTATATTATTTTGGCGTTTACTCTTATTTTATTATAGCCATTATAGGAACTCTACATCTTTATATCCTCATCCAATTATATAATAAATGACTTCTGTAGATACATGTATATTTTTTAGTCATCTTTAATGCCCGTATTCATAGTCAGATCTTATATTTAAGGCTTCCTTAAATTTATCTTCAGATGCTCTGCGAATTATTTTTCTATATATGCAGGAGCCATTAAATACTTTCATCATGAAGCTCTTTGGAAAATGGCCATCAAAAAATCTTTCATTAGTGTCCATTAAAATGAAAGACCTCATAAGCCTTTTATTTTATTCTAGTTTATATGATTAAATTAGAAAGAACCGCCATCATAATGTCGTTTACATCTCTACATATCTACAATAAAACAGCATTTATACTCCGAGTTTCAAAAGCATTGGCTTCCAAATCTACAATGACCGGTGAAAATGCACTTCCTCTTTCCGTGCTGACTTTAATTTCTTTATTGTTACTTTAAAAATTGAGTCCTTTCAAATTATTTTGTTTCTTTTTAAAATATAAATTAAGGACCGCAAAGCAAATAAAATTTTTTAGAATCTCTAAAAGTTTGCTCGCAAACGGTTCGTTTAAGAAATATTGATTTAAGTTATAAAATTACAGGAATACAAAGTAGGTCTGAGATGATAAATTAATAAACAAATCATCACCTAATAAGATCAACAAACATTTCAATTTTTAATAATAATCATCTTTAATTTTGTTATAACACAAAAATTGTCGCTAATTTTAAATCTGATATTATTTAACTAACATCCATCTAAAAGGATTTCTACTTACAAAGCAATATATTTTAACAGATATATTTTATCCTACAGAGAAGTAATATTAAAAAGCTGTGCACACAATTTTAAGTAAAACAGTTTAAACTAAGATTGGACGAACAATTTTATTAATTCTTGAAAATGACGAAATAATATGATAGGCTTATGAATATATAGGATTATAAATATTATAATTAATTGAGACTTATTTTATGTAACATACAAAATCACATTAACAAATACGATATTAAATATCATGCTTGATAAAGTATAATTATATCTTTTTCCTTAACGGACTATACATTAAATTATATTAATCTTTTTTATATTAGAGTTGAGATTTAATTCCACATTTGTTGATGATTTTATTGTCGACATCTATTGTCCCTTTCTTGCCGCTCGTATCTTATTGTTAATGTGCTTGTAAACAAGGCCTATGCCGTGACGTTCATCTCATTCTCAAAAGCCTCCATACTATAAGTACTATAAAATATTAATAATAATATTATTACTAATATAATATTTTAATAATTTTATAATATTTTATTTAAACCTAAAAGATAAAAAAATTTTCAATTATTAATTTAAAAAAGGTGTTTTGAATAGCTCGATACTACTCAAAGAGATTAACAAAATTCCATCATATTTATAATACGAATATTTCTGAGCTAAAACATCATGTGTCTTGTTAATAGATGTTTAACAATTAGATCATTGCTAATTGTAAGATATTTATGACAAGAGAGAGATAGTAGGCATCAACAACAAAATTAAAATGTGTAACTAAATCTCAGCTGTTAAAATTTGTATCGATAGAAGCGAAGACCTTTTGACTACTCTTCTTAAACTGACGCGTAAATATATACGCGCATTAGGTGAATATACATCTAAAATCGTATATCATATCATAGTATTATGAAGAAATTTATATTGAGAGAGCATGGATTAAAAGTATGTAAAACGACAAGTTTCGGTGGGCACGAGATACATACAAAATAACGATTATGATAAATGACGACGAACTAGGTGATCATATACATATTTCACAGCCCAGCGCGCTCGTCCTTTGTGTCTGAATCCTGGCATGAGAAGAACCACGACCACTAAAAAATAAATCAGATAAATCACTAAAAGTAATACAGATACAAACAGATAAAGAAAATAATGGTAGAAATTTGTTACCTATGATGTAAAGCAGAAGTAAATTATTGATAGTGTTACCGATCCAGGCGAAAAGAATGAGAAAGAGGATCGTTGCACTGTAATACTGCAATAAAAATAAGAAAAATGTTACACGTAATTTTTTATTTTTAAAATGTGGAAATAAAATATAAAACGTTTCTGTATATATATATATATATATATATATATATATAT